TGGACCGGTAGCGGAATGTTTGCGTTCGGCTGCTGGGCCGGCATAAAAATGTTTTTGCACGAAAAAGGTGCATGTCAAAATGATATGAAAACAGTTTCTTTACAATTTTATAGTTTTACTTAATGGACCGGTACAGAACGCTTTGTTTTGCTTAATGGGCCGGTACCGGAATGTTTGCGTTTGGTTCATGGCAAGGAACTGCCGCTTCCCAAAGGTTGGAATTCACGGTTGCCAACGTGGGAACCACAGGTTACCATTGCAAGGAACTGCCGGTTCCAAGAGGTTGGAACTCCTGGTTCCCAACCTGGGAACCATGGGTTACCATTGCAAGCAACTGCCGGTTACCAGAGGTTGGAACTCATGCTTCCCAACCTGGGAACCATAGGTTACCATTGCAAAGAACTTCCGGTTCCTAAAGGTTGGAACTCATGGTTCCCAACGTGGGAACCAAAGGTTACCATGGCAAGGAACTGCCGTTCCCAAACGTTGAAACTTACGGTTCCCAACCTGGGAACCAGAGGTTACCATTGCAAGGAATTGCCGGTTCCCAGAAGTTAGAATTTATGTTTTCGAAGCTAAGCGGCTATCATTGTAAGGAACTGCGGATTCCCAAAGATTGAAACTCATGGTTCCAAACCTGAAAAAGTAACGTTACCAGTGGAAGGATCTGTTGATTTGCAAAAAGTTAGAACTCATGGTTCTTAATGTTGTTTTGTTTTGTTTTGTTTACTGAGCCGGTAACAGAACCTTTTGTTTTGCTTAATGGACCGGTAGCGGAATTTTTGCGTTCGGCTGCTGGGCCGGCAAAAAAATGTTTTTGCACGAAAAAGGTGCATGTTAAAATGATATGAAAACAATTTCTTTACAATTTTATGGTTTTGCTTAATGGACTGGTACAGAACGCTTTGTTTTGCTTAATGGACCGGTACCAGAATGTTTGCGTTTGGTTCATGGCAAGGAACTGCCGGTTCCCAAAGGTTGGAACTCACTGTTGCCAACGTGGGAACCACAGGTTACCATTGCAAGGAACTGCCGGTTCCCAGAGGTTGGAACTCATGGTTCCCAACCTGGGAACCAGAGGTCACCATTGCAAGCAACTGCCGGTTCCCAGAGGTTGGAACTCATGCTTCCCAACCTGGGAACCATAGGTTACCATTGCAAAGAACTTCCAATTCCTAAGGGTTGGAACTGATGGTTCCCAACGTGGGAACCAAAGGTTACCATGGCAAGGAACTGCCGGTTCCCAGACCTTGAATCTTACGGTTCCCAACCTGGGAACCAGAGGTTACCATTGCAAGGAATTGCCGGTTCCCAGAAGTTGCAATTTATGTTTTCGAAGCTAAGCGGCTATCATTGTAAGGAACTGCGGGTTCCCAAAGCTTGAAACTCATGGTTCCAAGCCTGAAAAAGTAACGTTACCAGTGGAAGGATCTGTTCATTGCAAAAAGTTAGAACTCATGGTTCTTAATGTTGTTTTGTTTTGTTTGCTGAGCCGGTAACAGAACCTTTTGTTTTGCTTAATGGACCGGTAGCGGAATGTTTGCGTTCGGCTGCTGGGCCGGCATAAAAATGTTTTTGCACGAAAAAGGTGCATGTCAGAATGATATGAAAGCAGTTTCTTTACAATTCTATGGTTTTGCTTGATGGACCGGTACAGAACGCTTTGTTTTGCTTAAAGGACCGGTACCGGAATGGTTGCGTTTGGTTGATGGCAAGGAACTGCCGGTTTCCAGAGGTTGGAACTCACGGTTGCCAACGTGGGAACCACAGGTTACTATTGCAAGGAACTGCCGGTTCCCAGAGGTTGGAACTCCTGGTTCCCAACCTGGGTACCATAAGTTACCATTGCAAGCAACTGCCGGTTACCAGAGGTTGGAACTCATGCTTCCCAACCTGGGAACCATAGGTTACCATTGCAAAGACTTTCCAGTTCCTAAAGGTTGGAACTGATGGTTCCCAACGTGGGAACCAAAGGTTACCATGGCAAGGAACTGCCGGTTCCCAGACCTTGAAACTTACGGTTCCCAACCTGGGGACCAGAGGTTACCATTGCAAGGAATTGCCGGTTCCCAGAAGTTAGAATTTATGTTTTCGAAGCTAAGCGGCTATCATTGTAAGGAACTGCGGGTTCCCAAAGCTTGAAATTCATGGTTCCAAGCCTGAAAAAGCATACGTTACCAGTGGAAGGATCTGTTGATTCCAAAAAGGTAGAACTCATGGTTCTTAATGTTGTTTTGTTTTTTTTACTGAGCCGGTAACAGAACCTGTTGTTTTGCTTAATGGACCGGTAGCGGAATGTTTGCGTTCGGCTGCTGGGCCGGCAATTTTTTTGAACGAAAAAAGTGCATGTTAAAATGATATGAAAACATTTTCTTTACAACTTTGTAGTTTTGCTTAATGGACCGGTACCGGAATGTTTGCGTTTGGTTCATGGCAAGGAACTGCCGGTTCCCAAAGGTTGGAACTCACGCTTGCCAACGTGGGAACCACAGGTTACCATTGCAAGGAACTGCCGGTTCCCACAGGTTAGAAGTCATGGTTCCCAACCTGGGAACCATGAGTTACCATTGCAAGCATCTGCCGGTTCCAGAGGTTGGAACTCATGCTTCCCAACCTGGGAACCATAGGTTACCATTGCAAAGACTTTCCAGTTCCTAAGGTTGGAACTGATGGTTCCCAACGTGGGAACCAAAGGTTACCATGGCAAGGAACTGCCGGTTCCCAGACCTTGAAACTTACGGTTCCCAACCTGCTGGGAACCAGAGGTTACCATTGCAAGGAATTGCCGGTTCCCAGAAGTTAGAATTTATGTTTTCGAAGCTAAGCGGCTATCATTGTAAGGAACTGCGGGTTCCCAAAGCTTGAAACTCATGGTTCCAAGCCTGAAAAAGTAACGTTACCAGTGGAAGGATCTGTTGATTGCAAAAAGGTAGAACTCATGGTTCTTAATGTTGTTTTGTTTTGTTTACTGAGCCGGTAACATAACCTGTTGTTTTGCTTAATGGACCGGTAGCGGAATTTTTGCGTTTGGCTGTTGGGCCGGCAAAAAAATGTTTTTTGCACGAAAAAGGTGCATGTTAAAATGATATGAAAACAGTTTCTTTACAACTTTATGGTCTTGCTTAATGGGCCGGTAAAGAACGCTTTGTTTTGCTTAAAGGACCGGTTCCGGAATGTTTGCGTTTGGTTCATGGCAACTGCCGGTTCCCAAAGGTTGGAACTCACGGTTGCCAACGGACAGCACCCTGCACGGCACCCTGCACAGCACCCTGCACAGCACCTTTGCCAGACTTCGCCACCGCAGTCTGGACAGCACCTTTGCCAGACTTCGCCACCGCACTCTGGACCCTGCACAGCACCCTGCACAGCACCCTGCACAGCACCTTTGCCAGACTTCGCCACCGCAGTCTGGACAACACCCTGCACAGCAACCACCCGGGACAGCAACCCTGCCATCAGCACCTGCACAGCACCTTTGTCAGACTTCCGCCACGGCAGTCCCTGGTACACATCCCTGCAGCAGCTCACCTGCACAAGCACCCGCACAGCAACCCTGCAAGCAACCTTGCCAGACTTCGCCACCGGCAGTCTGCACAGCACCCTGCACAGCACCTTTGCCAGACTTCGCCACCGCAGTCTGGACAGCACCCTCCACAGCACCTTTGCCAGACTTCGCCACCGCAGTCTGGACAGCACCCTGCACAGCACCCTGCACAGCACCCTGCACAGCACCTTTGCTAGACTTCGCCACCGCAGTCTGGACAGCCCTGCACAGCACCCTGCACAGCACCCTGCACAGCACCCTTGCCAGACTTCGCCACCGCAGTCTGGACAGCACCCTGCACAGCACCCTGCACAGCACCCTGCACAGCACCTTTGCCAGACTTCGCCACCGCAGTCTGCACAGCACCCTGCACAGCACCTTTGCCAGACTTTGCCACCGCAGTCTGGGCAGCACCCTGCACAGCACCCTGCACAGCACCTTTGCCAGACTTCGCCACCGCAGTCTGGACAACACCCTGCACAGCACCCTGCACAGCACCTTTGCCAGACTTCGCCACCGCACTCTGGACAACACCCTGCAGAGCACCCTGCACAGCACCCTGCACAGCACCTTCGCCAGACTTCGCCACCGCAGTCTGGACAGCACCCTGCACAGCACCCTGCACAGCACCCTGCACAGCAACCGCTGCACAGCACCTTTGCCAGACTTCGCCACCGCAATCTGGACAGCACCCTGCACAGCACCCTGCACAGCACCCTGCACAGCACCTTTGCCAGACTTCGCCACCGCAGTCTGGACAGCACCCTGCACAGCACCCTGCACAGCACCCTTGCCAGACTTCGCCACCGCAATCTGGACAGCACCCTGCACAGCACCCTGCACAGCACCTTTGCCAGACTTCGCCACCGCAGTCTGGACAGCACCCTGCACAGCACCCTGCACAGCACCTTGGCCAAAAGTTCGCCACCGAAGACCCCACCTTTGAGAAGTAAGAACCCCTATAGCTTGCCAGCTATCTGGGGAAATATAAGCAGAAACAATAAATATCAAACTATATTTCTAAAATGAAAAAATATATTTTTTTCAATATATTCAATTGCCTTAAAATGATGTCTGTATATAAATCGAAGGAAAAATTGAAACTCAAAGATTTTTCAAGATGGGCACCAGTCCTAAGTCATCAGAACCTACATACTTACATCACATTACATTACAGTACATTACATTACACTACAGTACATTACATTACATTACAGTAAATTACATTACATACATGCACAGGACTTGGTGCACAAAATCGTACGTCACCAGAGGGGCACAAGTCCTAAGTCATCAGAACCTACATACTTACATTACACTACGGTACAGTACGGTACATTACATCACAAAACAGTACATGACATTACACTACAGTACATTACATTACACTACAGTACGTTACGTTACAGGACAGTACATTACATTACATTACATACATGCACAGGGCTTGGTGCACAAAATCGTATGTCACCAGAGGGGCACAAGTTCTAAGTCATCAGAACCTACATACATACATTACAGTAATTTACAGTACAGTACAGCACAGTACATTACATCACACTACAGTACGTTACATTACATTACATTACACTACAGTACATTACATTACACTCCAGTACATTACGTTACAGTATGGTGCATTGCAGTACATTACATTATTACATACATGCACAGGACTTGGTGCACAAAATCTTATGTCACCAGAGGGGCACAAGTCCTAAGTCATCATGGTTTTACGAGTGGTCCATGCCGCACTTAAAAAATCAAACATAGTTTCTAATCTCATACGGACACCTGATGAGTTGGGACTTGTCCAGGGGGGTCCGACGCATGATGAGATAGGACTTGGCCACCCCGGGGTATCTTTCACAAGTCCTAAGTCACTTGCTTGAAATATAATTACGCTGCACTACATCACAACTATAACTACGCTACCTTACGCTAGACTACACTACACTATACCACACTACACTACACGACACTACATGACATTACGCTGCACTACAATACACTAATTACACCACACCACGATTACAACTGCAACTGCGCTTGCAAATAAACTAATTCCACTACATCACAGCTACAGCTCCACTACGCTACACTACAACTACAGCTACAACTGCAACTACAACTACACCCAGTACACCACACTACATCCAGCAGTTGTGGTAAGGTGACCGCTGCAACCATTGCAAACATTCCAAAAAACACAACTCCAATCACCTGTCGGTCCATCAGTGGATTCGCTCTGCCATCCGTGATTCACAACAACCAACCTCTCCTATAGGTTTCCTATTTTTGAAACTTCCGCCACCGCCTTGTGCGGTACTACTGGTATCGTTTTATGCGATCTGAACATGTTCATACTTTTCACTCCAGGATGGCGCCACACCTTGGCCACCATCGTCCTGGGCGTGATGCCGTCCGGAACCACCAAGACATCAGTAGGAGAGTTTTGTTGGTGGTGGCATCCGATGGGAAGGGCCAGCACTGAGTGAAGATCTTCCTGATCTCCTCCCACTGGTCGGGGCGGAGTTGAAAATTCGAGCCTTGTTGCTTCTTTTGATCCGTGAACTTCTTGGTGCCTTTCTTCCACTCCTTCTGCGCCCTCAACATGGCTGCCTGGGACTCGGCCGTCTCTTTGCGTTCCAACTCGCTACTGAGCACTCGGCCCTCTCTGACGGCCGCGTGGGATGAGATGTGGTGTGGCCTGCCATGCTGTTGTAGAGGAGCATGTACACCGTGCTCAGCCACCACAGCATCTCTCCATCGGCCACCACGGCACCGCATGAGTGCTGAAGGGATGTGCTGAACCCTGCGTTTTCTCATGTCAAACAATGCGACCACTTTTAGGCAACCCTTCCACGCTCTGAGCACTGAAGGGACCCTGTGTTTTCTCATGTCCTTCCACGCTGCGTTTTCTCAGTGATCTCAAGTGCAGACAAGTGACCACTTGTGTGTGCTGGCGTCTCTCGGTCTGCATTCCAAATTATTCCACAAGGTGCCAAGATGCTGGGAGCCCTAGCACCTTGCACCATGCAGTGCATCATCTTCTGGCACGATAGCCTCAGGCTCTTGCGCCATGGTCTCAGGCTCTTGTGCCATGGTCTCAGGCTCTTCTTCCGCAGCCTCGCCCTTTGCTGCGACTTCCCATCGCTTCATATCGCAGCCTCGCCCTTTCTGCGTTCAGGTGTTCCCGTTGCACCTCCATTTGCAACTGACATCTCTCTGTCTCCAGCTGCGCCATCTTCAGTGGAATTCATGCTCTCGTCGCTGCATCTCCTTCTCCTTGCGCTGCATCTCCAGCATACTCTGGAGCTTCACCTTGTCCATCTGACTTTCCATCAGCTCTTCGGTCTTGGCTTGAAGGCTTCTGGACATATCCACACACATCTGTAAGCTCTGAACTGGCACCATGGGCTGGACCATAGGCATCATACCAGATACAGGCGCTAGAGGTTGCACTTCACGAGCCGCAGGCACCAGCGCTAGACTTGTCGGTTGGCTCTGGTTGGCTCTCTCCATTTCCTCGATCTCTCTGCGTGCCTGCCTGGCTTCTACCGCAAAGGCTAGAAGGTCGGACCAACTCCTGTCCCCATCCAGTTCAACAGTCCTTGGCGCCACTGCAGATGCCACTGGAGGTGCCTCCTCGATCTCTCTGCGTGCCTGCTTGGCTTCTACCGCAAAGGCTCGAGGGTCGGACTGACTTCGGCGCCACTGCAGGTGCCACTGGAGGTGCCGCAGTGCTGCCGGGCACCATAGTCTCTTGGAGCCATAGCGGCAACATTTCATCAGGTGGGCTATCGCACATTTGAGATGCGGCAACCATCGGGGTAAAACCCTGGACACATCCTTGTGTGTCCCTCACAAGAGGAGACCTTGCGGCGAGGTCCCTGCGCATGGTCGGACTACACCGTTTGGTCTCACTCATCCGTCTTAAGCCAAAAAGGTATCGATGATTCTGAGCTTCAAATCTAACTCTGGGCCGCTGGGCCACTAGGACCACTGGGAGGCCGCTGGATGTGAAGGATGCCATGGAAACTAAAAAAAAACATGCCTGGTGAAAACTCAAAAAACACATGGCGACCTCCCAGAGTAACAACAGCTGAAGCAGTTGAAAGTTCTTTATGGTTCCAAAAGTTCATAAAACTTCGAGGCTGAAGCTCTGCCAAGTAAGGTGTCCCACAAAAGTAACATGGCGCTGGATTTGGTCCAAGTTTCCATGGGCAGTCCTATTGCCCTGAGGACGGCAAGTCTTACATGCTGCCCCTTCTCCTGACACACCATGGATGCTTCCAGCACCTTCAAAGGTCATGGAACGCTCTCAGTAGATCCAGGCCTTTCACATTCATCATCCTAATATCGACAAAGGGATGTGCATAGTTGAAAGATGTTGAAAGTGCAAAGATTTAGACATGGATGAAGCCCTATATCCCGGTATCGTAGAAGCTCAACGATCCATGGCTATGCCAGTCTCCCCAGGCCCAAATCCTGTCAAGCACGTGAATGGCTCGCACAAATTGTCCAATGTCTTCACATATCCAGGACGACACTCTGCGCATTGGCCATCTGCAGTGCGGAGACTCTGGGAGACACATTCGCTGCAGCCCTCATCCGCTTTGCAGGTGTAAGGGATGCACTGGAATTTGGCATTGCGGTAGAATCCCTTGTTGCACTCCTGAGAATGCAAGCGACCACAACTGTTTTTCGGGGTAACAAACCACATTGCCCCTCAACTTTGCCTTGTTTTACTAGCTGCTGATTCTGGAATGGGATTCTGGGTATTTCATGTTCACCTGGGTTTTCAACCCATAAGCACAATAGTTTCGGCTGTTTTAAATCTCCAAGGGTTTGGCGCCAACCTCAAAGGTCACGAGATCAGCGTTTCCATCAGAAAAAGTTGAATGGAAAAAGGGGACAATCATAGTTGAATCATGTGGGTGAAACAATAATAAACGGGTTCAGAATAGTTTTTGTTTTTTTGGCTCAGGTTTTGGATTCTTTTGGTGGCTTTCTTTTCCGGTAGCATTTGCCTTGTATTTGCAACAGTTTGGAACTAGAATCTGTCATTTTGCATGGTATTTGTTGCATTTTGGCATGGTTACTTTGCATTTTGCATGACATTTGCTGCATTTGGCCATGTTCGCCTTCCATTTTGCATGGTATTTGCCATGTTTTGGTACTTCAACCTCTCATTTGCATCGTATTTGCTACATTTTGGTACTTCAAACGTTCATGTGGGTTTCTTGAGACGTTCTTTAGGCTTTCATTTAGGGTTTCATTGGGTTTCATTTAAGGTTTCATTTGCAGTAGGGTTTCATTAGGATTTCATTTACGGTTTCATTTAGGGTTTCATTTAGGGTTTCATGTAGGGTTTTTTTAGTGTTTCATTTAGACTTTCATTTAAGTTTCTTTAGGTTTGGGGTTTCTTTAGAGTTTCATTTAGGGCTTCTTTTTAGGGTTTCATTTAAGGGTTTCTTATCGGGATGTCTTATCAGGATTTCCAAACGTCCATGTGGGTTTCTTTGGGGCTTCTTTAGGGTTTCATCTAGGGTTTCATTTAGTGTTTCTTTAGGGTTTCATGTAGGGTTTCTTTAGGGTTTCATTTAGGGCTTCTTTAAGGTTCATTTAGGGTTTCTTTAGGGTTTCTTTAGGGTTTCTGTCGGGTTTCATGTAGGGTTTGATTTAGGGATTCTTTAGGGGTTCATTAAGGGTTTCATGTAGGGTTTCTTATCAGGATTTCTTATCAGGATTTCCAAACGTTCATGTGGGTTTCTTTAGGGCTTCTTTAGGGTTTTTTAGGGTTTCATTTAGGGTTTCTTTCGGGTTTCATTTAGGGTTTCAGGTTTCTTTAGGGTTTCGTTAGGGTTTCTTTAGGGTTTTATTTAGGGTTTCGTTTACGGGTTCTTCAGGGTTTCAGTTTGGGTTTCATTCAGAGTTTTTTAGAGCGTCGTTTAGGGTTTCTTTAGGGTGCCATTTAGGGTTTCATTCAAAGTTTCTTTTGGGTTTCATTTATGGTGTCTTTAGGCGTAATGTATGTTTTTTTTTTTGTTTTTTAGGGTTTCATGTAGGGGTTTCTTATCAGGAGTTCTTATCAGGATTTCTTTAGGGTTTCTTTGGGTTTCACCTAGGGTCTTTCGGGTTTCATTTAGGATACAAACAGGAAGAAAAGAAGCTGGTAAAGTAGAGAAGTAGAGAAGCATGAAAAGCAGAGAAGAAGGAAAAGCAAAAAGCAGGAAAAGCAAAAAGCAGAGAAGCAGAAAAAGCAGAGAAGCAGAAAAAGCAGAGAAGCAGAAAAGCAGAGAAGCAGGAAAAGCAGAAAAGCAAAGAAGCAGAGAAGCAGGAAAGCATAGAAAACAGGAACAAAAAAGAATCTGCGGCGAAAAACAAAACAAAAATAAATAGCCCTCCATAATAAATCACCCATTTGGGAATGGTTTATACCACCTATCAAAATTGTGATTTGGGGGATGGTGTATGGCATTTTGTTTACCCACATTACCAATCACCTAAAATCGGCAGGTCGGGGGTCCCCTTGGGACCAATCTCTTCAACCAAGCTTCCATGCACTGGTTTTCTGCCGTGCGAGCGTCTTGTATCAAGCATTCCTGGCACAAGGCACCTCGGCAGCGAAATTTGCAATGCCTACCATGTCGATGTTCTCCAAAACCAATACGCGTCAAATTTGCAGATGCAAAAATGCAAAACACAACCAACCCGAGGAACCCAGGTTGCCAACCCTGCCTTGGCCAACGCTGCAAGAGAATTCTTTGCAGGTGCCGTTGCTCAAGAAGAAACCAGGATTGCACTCCGCACATTCCTGCGGCTTTTTCATCATTATCTTGGACTTCGGCACATTTTTTTGTCTTTTGTGTTTTGCATTTCCTGATGTTTTTCAGGTTTTGCCACAGAATCTTGCAACATCCTACTCGTCAAATCAAACAGGATTCCAGCCAACGCCGTGAAGACCATGAAGTGAACATCATAAACCCACTGGCTGTCCCACCTCATCTTGAGTTCGCAATGCCAGCGGTTTGCATGTCTTGCACGCTGCACCGGCACCACTATTGCACACGTATGGCCTGCACATGGAATCCTTCAACTCATAGCCGGCATTGCAGGCGCTGCACTGGCTGTCCATGCCCCGGGAGGTCTGATCCTTGCACGTCTTGCAGCTGGAATTCTCTCCAGTGCTGCACTGGTAAGGTTCACAAGTGAAGCTGCTGGAGAGACGGTACCCAAAGTTGCACCTCTCGCACTGATCATCACCTTAGCCAGTCTCGATTCTTCCCCACCTCTCAGTGAAAATAAAGCAGGACCAGAAAAACTGCGTCATTTCATCATTTCATCATCTTCATCCAGCTAGGGCCGTAAAGGTGAGAATGAGGTCTCCTTAAATCCACGATGATCCATCTCATTGTTCAGACCTTTGGAATCTTCACCCATCTTAGCCAATCTTCAACCGAAATCCAACCAGAATTTCAACCAGTTGGATTCAACATATTCAAGGACCACTGGTGACCACTGGTGATGTGGACCTTTCAAGCCAGCGACTGGTCAAGCGTGCCAGGTCCCTACATCTGTTGCAGGCATTTCCAGCCCCCGTGCTGCAGCTGAACGGGATACAGGTCAGGTCTTCGCTCAGCAAATGTCCTGAAAAAGGCGGTTCAAGGCGCAACGCGGCGCAACAGGGTTCAACGCACAGTGTCGAGCCCAAGGAAAGCACGCAATAGCAATGACGATGATGGGACAAAGAGAAAGAAGAACAATAAGAAGAAGAAGAAGGCGAAGGCGGAGAGCAACTATCTGGTTGTTGCTTTGAACCCTCTGCAAAATACACCAATTCAAATAACACAGTGGGGATCATCCTGGAAGCGTCATCCACATGTCCTGCATTGCATTCTTGGCACTGATTCGGCCCAGTGCGATCGGCCAAAGGCCGACAAACCTTGCAAGCCGCACCAGCACCGCTCATCTTGCAGGGCCATGGTTTGCAAAAGAAGTCCTCCGGATGCTGGTCATGTGCTGCGCCCACAGTAGGGTTTAGAGGATCGAAATTGCGTGCACTATCCACACATATCCACACTCTTTCACACCTACAGTATATCAATGCACTGACTATAACTCCATCTTTTTGCTCTCTTGAGAGTCTTGGTGCTGCAATGAGGAAAGCAAATGTTTCTGAAGCACATGGCAAGCATCATCATCCAGGAAATAGCCCTCATTGCACGCTGAACACTGCCCCTTGGCGGTGCGATGCTCTTGTGCGCGACAGGTCTTGCACCCTGAGGCTGGTGAAGGGTGACATTCGAAGGCGCGGCAGGCACGGTCGATGGTGAGGTAGTAGCCTGTCATGGTTCCACGAGCTGATCCATTTTCAAACGGAGTAATCCTTTCCGTGGACCCCGGTGCTGGTGAAAATTCAGATCAAGGTTTGGATTCCAAGAATGGGATCCACTAGAAGCACAAGTGCAGAAAAAGAAATGACGTACCCTCCGGCGGATTGCCATGGCAACAGAAAGTGTTCCAAAAATTCGATCAAAATTTCATGCCGTCCCGGTGGTTACCATTGCCATGTCAAACGACCAGGAGATCAGCTGAGGGACCCCGGTTGCAATCGTCGCACTGTGTTCTGTCGGAGGTGCATCTTCTACACTGATGCCCAGGGCCCGTGGTACAATCGACGGCAACGCACGAGACGTTGTCAGCAGCCAACCTGGGCACTGGGCACAGAAACATCCCTGCCACCTCGAAGGTTGAAATGTGTATATGCATCTGGTGAGCCTTATCATTATCATTATTGTATATTAAATTGTGGGAAATTTCTGTTATTATTACGTGAAGCAAGCAAATACAACCACAGTAGAAAGATCTGAAAGGGTTCAACTCATTGAACCCATCTTTGCAAATCGGAAGTGGCGCAAACCCTTCATTGCAGCTGGCACATTGCTGGTCACTCCGTCTGGACGCTAAGAGCTGGCACGTTTTGCAACCTGCATCAGCTTGGTTTGGAGTGCACTCGTAGGGTCGGCAGCTACCATCTGGCATGAGCTCATAGCCAGCATTGCACTCCTTGCTGAGGTGAACTCCAGGAATGTGGTGAAAGTCAAACTGAAACACTTGTCATGAAGCGGCTGTTTGCGGGCTTCCAGGTCAAACAGAAAGCAGATAGCTATTCTCCCAAATGCTCCCATCGTGCACATGGCACCAATACCCAAACCAACCCAAAGACAGAAAACCCGCAAACGCTCACCAAGACAAGCTAAGGTTCTAGACATTCCCCATCATGAGTAGCTTCTTTTGAGGAAGCGCATGACTTGCAGGCACTTCCTGGGCCCTCATTACATCTGTGCGGAATGCACATGAAGGTTTCGGGCCCCAGGCGAAATCCCACGTTGCATTCAGCACATTGGTTGTCTGCCCGGCGATCTGCCTGTTTCCTACATGCCTTGCAGGGATGGCCCAGACCCACCTCAGTGCACTTGAAGGGATGGCAACTGCCATCCGCATGGAGTTGATATCCGGGGTTGCACTCCTGGCACTGATCAATGGCTGTTCGATCGATCTGCGCCTTGCAAGCCTTGCAGCCAGCGCCATGGCCTTCCTGGGACAGGGAAACGAGGCATTTAAGGCTTAAAAGGAGGGGAGAAGGTAGAAAGGCTTGGTGAAAATTGCGGTGATTTTGAAGAAACCTCCGTGGAAAGGGGGCTGAAAATTGCGGCACAGCATCTCTGCAAGGCCATGGCGTGCACTTTTCGGTGTCTGAATCCAAGTAGTACCCAAGGTTGCACTGGGAGCATTGGCCTCTGCAGCTCAGCAGAACGCGAGTTGCATCAAGAGGAAAATCAGGGTCCAAACCCTGAGTTATATGATAAATATGCCCATGTTCCCAGACAAATATTGCACAAAACTTTTGAGAGCGAGATGAAAAATCGCTGAAATAGCAAGCAAAGAGCCATCTGCACTTGTTGAAGCAAGTGCTTTGCACACTTTGCAGGCGGCCCCTCCACCAGTGCGGCAGACCAAGGGTTTGCACTGCAGGTCAGACGTCAACCTCGGTCACTGGATCTGTCAGTGGCGGGGTTTGCTCCTTGCTACTGCTGAAACGAAGCAGAAAAGATGCTACCTGAAATGGGTATGGCAACACCTCAGCAAACAAGATAGACAAAGTTGAGGCATGCAATGGTTTTAAAAAAATGCAGCTCCTTCCTAACAAAAACAACCTTCCAGAAAGCCTACTCATTTTGCAGGCCCATGTCCAGGCAAGGCGCTGATAGCCAGTATTGCAGGAGAGGCATTGCCCACCAGCTGTCCGGTTGCTTTGAGGCACCTGGGCGTGGATTCAGGGGGACTGTACAGTGTGTTGCTTGGAGCAAGGTGGAGGCAGTCCATCTACCGCACCCTACCCTGGTGCAAACATAAGCGAAACCAATGAAGCCAGCAAACGCACTTCTTGCAGGAAGGCCCATCACCCTCAATACACGGCAGAGGATTGCAGGCACCTGTCACAGAGTCACACAGGCTGCGATGGAACACTAATACATCTTGCATCTTTTGCTGACGATTTGGGGTTGAGAAATTTGCGTGGCCATTAATCAAAGAACCCATGTAGTGCAAAAACTTCAAGAGGTGCGCAGGGCAAGAGAGGATGCCAGCTCATTCGGACAAACGGCTGGATGATGTCCCAAATCGGCTAGCACCTCCTATGAGTTGAAAACCAGCATGACACGAAGAGCAATGGTTGTCTCCGGTCCTCCACACCATCAAATGTGGGAAAGGCAGCTGTTTGGACAGACTTCTGCTGCATCCACCCCAGCAACTACCATGCGTCACTGTTGTTGCGGCTCAACAGGGCGGACAAGCACCTCTCCGGAAACCCTTTCAGCCCTTCAGTCCTCAAGTGCAGGGGCTGGCAGCCAGCACATCCACGCCCATCTGCCGTGATCTCGCAAGCGAAGGAAGAACATGTGAAGGTCTCCTTGGCACAGCTTTCTGCCGGTGCGGGGGTAGATTTCAAGCTGCAATCTGAATCCTGCAGGTGCCAAAACGTCCATCTCTTAGCAGGTTCCGAAGAAATCTACTACACTACTTGCGTGTTTTGGTCGATCTGCCATCTGCCCAACCAGACATACAGCCAGGCAGCTGTATTCAGCCAATATCCAGGGTTGCATGTTGCGCATTGGTTGTCCGCGGATCGCAGCTCTTGCTTCCTGCAGCTGGCACAAGCATCGCCAATGCCAACCTCGCAGGTGATCGGAATGCATTCCTCGCTTTCAGACAGGACATAGCCTGGTGGACACTCCTGGCAGACTTCGGTCTCAGGCTGGGCCAATGTTGCTTGATGTTTCTTGGCTGCTGATTGGATCTTCTCAGTTTTTGGCGGACATGTTCGCAGGGATAATGGATCCAAGTTTTCTGTCAGGGGCTAATTGCTGCAGCCCAACCTCAAAAACTCTCTTCATCCCTTCATTGCCTTCTCATTCTGAAAATGACATCTCTGTAGTTTATTTAGGCAAATGCAGTGTGATACGGTCATGCGTTCATGTTGTATCAAATACCATTGCAAACTCTTAGGCAAGATCTGCGCTCCTTCTTCTTCTTCTTGTGGGCAGTGCCATTCAACGTAGAACCCTGCTGCGCAGCTGTCCTGTTACCGAAATCTTTGCTGCTGGTGTGGGCGGCAACTCGAGGGAAAAAAGAAAGTAGGGAATGGATTCAAAGCAAATGCTGCAGGCAAGCCCAACCTTAAGAAAAAACGAACTTTTTGTACATTGAATACATCTATAGTGATCTATGTAATGGGCTATCGGTTGTTGTCTGATTTCTGGTTACAACCAACCAAAAACCCTTTCCACCATAGTCCAACCACTTCTGTTCACGCCTCTGAAAGGCATCCACATCTTGGTCACGGGACAGCAAGCCCGTGTGAAAAACGGTGACGATGGGTTCGTCCTCCGCTCTCATGGCAGTTTTATGAAGATCAGGAAGACATGACAAGATTGAACACGGACGGGTATGGCTCAAATTTCGAGCCCCCATGGAATCAGAACCACAATTCTTGACCAGGATCCAGGCCTCAGATGCGAGAGGCACCCAGCCGGATCCCCACCTCGGTCGCAGCAGTTGAAAATGCGGGGGAAAGGCCAGGCGACGCTTGAAAAATCATTGAGAGCCCCTGCGATCTGCTATGGGATGCCTTCATTGCCTTGGAACCAGCTGGATGTTGAAGTCATGGTGATAGGTAATGTTGACAATATTCATCACCGAAATGTATTATTCATTGGTATTGGTATTGGTATTGGTATTGATATTGATGATGATGATGATGATGGGAATGTTATTCACCAGTTCCAAGGCGATTCATTGGAATGCTGAATCTCAGTGTCAATTCTCAACAGCACGCGGTTGCCTCGCCTTTGCCATGATTAGAGTCAGCCACGCCATCACTGGTAACAAATAACTATATAGTCCCAGCCACATCGTTTAAGCTGCATAGGCTGCAGATCAACAGCAGTTGCAGCACCTTGCTGGAAGGCTGAGAGTTTGACCAGCAGACTAAAATCACACCAGGATGATACCAGAATATTTGGCCCTGCACCATGGTTTGCTTCATTGGTTTCTCTCTTTTCGGTGCGGGTGGCAAAAGCCACGCAACACCCAATGGAAAGCTACAGTTAGCTCCTGGCAGGCGCCCAACACAAGCGAATACGGTACGTCTACTCAAACTTGCAAGTTGGGGACTGTTTGGGCAAATGGCCCATGATCAGACCGACAAACTCAATGAACTCCACGAAGCTAGTGACCAAGAGCGGTTCCGGCCCATCAAAAATGGTGATTGAGCTGCGCCTGCTCATCTCTATTGATAAATCGTCATTTGGGGACCTTGATTATATTCTTTCCTTCGGCCGCGTCCGTCCAGTTGAGCAAGGAATTGCACAAATGAGCAGCGTTCAACACCTTTTTAACGGTCCTTTTTAAGTCTTGTTGCGAGTAGGCGGTTTGTTACGGCCTACAGGCTGCATGAGACAGGTGTGTTACCTATCAACTGGAGTGGAAAAACTGATGGAGTCCATGACGAAGCTTCGGCTTTTCGGGTTCCACCTCCAAACTTGCAACTGGGAGTTGCTGCAACTGGGTGACTTTGGTAATGAGACGGTCGCCTAAAATGCCTTGGAACCAGAGATGCAGCTGTTCTTCGGCAACTGGGCTCAGCTTCATGCTTACACCCATTGCACAACATTGAAAACGGCCGTTGGATGGTCGGTTATGAACAGCTTTATACTCAGGATCCTGGAGGCGGATCAACTGTATCAAATAACTTGACCATGATCGGACCACCTGCTTCATCTGATATTCTTCCAATCGACTAAACAACTGCCACGTGTTATGAGCTGAAGTCGACTGAATTCCCCATTCACCAGTCAAGATCTGAAAGCTAAAGAGGAGTTCATACCAACTGACCCATCTGAGAGGAGCATTCTCATCATGCACCCATTGGCACCACTCAAGGACTCTATGAACTCCTACAAACCTAAGTTTAATTGGCAATCTGTCTATGGCGACTCTTGCAATTTGCGACCAATTAACTTCCGGCATGTCTTCCATGTCTCTGACTGGAGCTGGTTTGGCGGCATCTTTCACGGATGTGGACAATTTGGCTACACGGATCATATGGCTGTGCACATGTCTGATCATCTGTTTATCTTTCACGTATTGGCATTTTGCTAACCTTTGAGCACGCAAAACGTCCTCCGGGAGAGATCTCAATGCAAAATCAGCTAACTGGTCTGCAGAATCATTTGCACTGCATGCCCATTGGATCCATTCTTCCTCAGCTCCATAAGATTGATGCGACTTGATGTGATGGAGTGCGCACCTAGACTGTGGTGGAATCATTTCATTCACCAACTGCCACAAATCATGATCAACCATGGAGGGTGAGATGTGAAGTACACCTTTCTGGATGGCTCTTGCTCTTTTGATGATGTACTCACAGTCACTCCAAATGGCAAACGACGCTGCATGTTGAACTCCAAACTGCAATGCCGATACAAAAGCACACAACTCGGCTCTTACGACTGTTTGCCAAAATCCTGGCACCCCTCCCCAAGCGACTGGGACATGTGGCTGGAGTGGATGTCCCCCTGCCAGGACGACACCCCAAGCAACCAGTCTTACTTCTGGCAATGTCGGATCGAGCCCTGTTCCATCACAGAATAAATCCATATGTCGAGTGGGCACCTCCATACTGACGTACATGGAGAGAGAATCTGGTACGTGCTTGAGGCTCATTTTGAAGGCTCTAGTCAATGGGTGCTCCGTGGCAAACCCATGCTCTCGCAGACATGCAGGTGTGCTGGCAATCATATCTTGAATATCTCGGGGTATGAGATCTCTGCTTGACTGGGTAGCTGGACACTCCCAGTGTCGATGTTCCACAGAGTCCGGAGACGAGCAAAACTTGCAGTCAGTGCTATCTGTGAAGCCAGCATGAATCAACGTGTCTTGCGTGTAAAACACTCCTGTCTGGGCTGTGCGAATGAAACCAAGTTCATCTGGTGACAACGAGACATCTGCTTTTGGATAGCTTTGGACACACATGTCTGAGGCCTGCAAATCCCTGCCTGTGTTCCCATTGGTGACCTACACTCTGCTGCCATGCTCTCGTCAGTCGGTGACGGAGTTCTTGGATGGGTGTGTGCAAAATGTGTATATGCCCTCCTTCACCATCGTGAAATACTCCATCTTTTTGGTATGTCCAACACACCTGTTGCAACCGACTGAGCAGAACTCCCCCTGGTCCTGGCTTTCTCAATCTTGGGGGAACAGCTGCACTAGGGGCCAATGTAACATCCAGAAGTTCTGGTGGGATTTCACGCCTGAACTGCGTCACTGTAATCCACAGCGCATAAAATTCAGGGTCGGTCATTGGGTTGCTGACTAGTGAAAGGAAGATTTGTGGATTTGCTCCGGCTTTGGTGAGTCCAAGGGCATTGAATGCTCCAGCTCGGGCCTCTACAAAGTGGGCAGGTCCTATATGGACTGTAGAAATGGCATACATTGCCCTTGGCCAGGCCACAGAGCGCAGAACTCGAAGTTTCTGGTGGAGTGGCGCTTGACTCCGTGCCAATTGGTGCCACAGCGCTGGAAGCTGTTTGAACTTGTTGACAACGGTGATATTGGTTCTTCTAGCATCAAATTGCATATGGGCTCCTAAGTCCCTGGCAGATGTGATTAGCACTTCTTGGGCTGCTCGGATCTCATGGCGGCCTTCTGCCGTGCATGCCCACCTGACAGTCTTGGATGGATCAAGCTGGATATCCAACAACCTGCAAAAGCCATCAAGGGATTCAAGGGCCTCATTGATGCTAGACACCTTTTCGGCCTGCAGCTCAAAATTGTCAACATATGTTGTGAAGACAGTTTCCGGATGCTTGCACTGGAGAAACGCATGAATGAGAGTATTCACAAGGACCATTGCAACTACTGACATGCCACAACCTTCAACGAATCCTGTTGTAGAGGTGACCTGCTGAGATGGCGAGTTGCGTACAACAAAATGTCGTTTGAGAAAGACAGTGGCGGAGGTCCATGCTGTTATGATCCTAGGGTGCACACCCATGCATTTGGCAATTTGAAAAGTTACCTCTCGTGGTAGATGATTAAATGCCTTGATGAGGTCCGAAGTTGCTCCTGTAAGAGGCGCTTTCATTTGTAAGGCAAGTTCTACCCTGTGTTGTAGGCTCCACCATAATGATGTTGCCTGCTTACCAGGCATGTTTCCAAGTAATGTCGGAGGAACATACTTTGCCAAATGTTGAAGTACTTCTCTGGATCGGAGCGTTGTGTAAATACGATATACCAGCGGCATTATCGTTATTGGTCGATACTGGGCCACATTCTGCGCATTGGGAATTTTTTCCAACGAGTGGACTGCGCCACAGAGGAGTTGAAGTGGCCATTGGCCAGTAGTTTCAGCTTGCTCCAGGATTTCAAGCAGTTGAATATGCAATTCGTCGGGGAATGCTAACAAATCACGTCTGGATACCCCATCCAATCCGGTTGCTGAGGAGGCTTTCTTGGATTTGATTGCTTGCTTCCACCTTGACAATGTTATGGGTTGGAGTACCATCGGTGGGCATTGCAACAAGGTCTCGGTGAGTTCAAGAATCTCAGTCCAGTGATGTGGATCTAAGTTCCTGTGCCGATCCCAACGCTTGGTCCATTCCTCCACGAATGTTTGGTGAATCTCGTGGATTTGACCCTGCATATTGACTTCTGCAACGACATCACCTACCACCAGTGTGTGCGGACTAGTGAACCAGATCTGCTGTTCCTCGATGTGTATAATATGCATAGGTCCTGTTCTTGTTTCAAGAACTGATGCATGTTGTATGGGTCTTGTGTCATCGACTATGACCGAACCTTCATCCACAATTTCAGTGATGGTAGCACTAGCTTTAGCGACCAACATATGCACTGGGACTGGAGGCGGTTTGCGTACATCACGGAAAACCCTATTGATGTCACTAGCTCTGTTGGATTTAGCAAGTGCTACCCAGGTGGTGATGATTTGCTTTTCCAGGCTCTGCAGCGCCTTGGTGAACACCTCTTGAACGTGGACTGCGATCGCCAGTGCAGGTGGTTCTTGTGGAAGCCATGGAAGCATGGCGGCATTGATGGCTGCTTGACGGAGCCACCAATCCATGAACCCTCCAGGAAATCCTGGTGCATGACGAATGGAGCGCCACAGAGCTGCTCGTTGCTCAATTGCTGTAAAGGCACTGGAATTTTTCCGGACTTGTTTGACATAATTGTCGATGCGACGACACTGTGTGAGCCATCGACAATGCTGCATAGACCATGAATTGACTGTTGGATGAACGTCACCTGGACGAGCAGGTCGGATGGCAGCAATTTTTGGCATTGTGAAAGTCCTTTGCAACGTCTGAGCTCTACCACATTGGTTCTGGGTGAGCCGCACTGCCCCTTGCTGAGCACGGATGTTATCAACATGTTCTTCAAACCTTTTGCAAATTGCTGTGTACTGCGCTGTGGGGTCTGCATGCCTCTCTGCAGGTGCGCATTGGCTGGATGCGATCGTGGGTATGCTCACCTGTTGATAATCGATCTGATGCGGCTGTGGCCATCTGGCAATTGGTTGTGGTTTAGACGGAAGCTCCATAAGCCCAATGAGAGTGGAATGATCTGGGAATTTGTCAAAGGAATTCTGGCAACTCTTGAGAAGTTGTTGGAGTTGGGGAGACATGTATACAAAGTCTTTTCGGCTGGTATGACAACATGTAGGTGTTGGCGAGATACCAAACTGTTCATTGGCCCAAGTTTGGATTTCTCTCCACCCTCTTGCTTCCCAAATTTGAGGTTCGTGGAGAACCCCTGAAACTTGGTTAAAATCTCCCGCAACAAAAGCTGGACCTGGAAAACCAAGGACAATTTGATGGGTAAGCTGCTGCAAGAGACGGTCAGTCTGCTCTTGCGTCTGTTTCGAATCTGCTGCATGGGCATACCCATAACACACTGCACCTGCAATGCACGTCTGATGCACTTGGAAGGTGGCAGCATGAAGTCTGGACGTGCGGTACAGCTCGGGGTCCCATCCACTCAAAATCGATCGGACAGGATAGGTTGACAGGAAACCTACTCCTGTATGCTTGCCTCCAAT